CAGCCAAAAGAAACATTTCAAAATTATCAGAATATCCCGAATATCACGTTTTCACGAAAGAGAGAAAGATAAACAAAAGAAAGGGCAGTAAAAATTCGAAAAGTTTAATCGCAGCTCCGCACGTACACAGGTGGTGCCACCGCCGGGGGCGGCGACCAGCTCCCAGCACGGCCGCTCCTTGTCGACGCGCAGACGGACCCTCGAGTGCACCTCCTCCCCCGGGCTGACGGTGCACCCCGCCGCGGGAAGTGGATCGGGCAGCACCTCGCCCCGACGGGTCGGCTCCTTCCGGAGGAGCACCGGTTCCGCCGATCGGCCGCCTTTGATGTTCTGCCGGAGGAGGCCCTCCTGGCCGGAAGTCGACATACAGGCCACCTCCGGGTGAGTACCGCTCCCCTTCATCCGATCTCGCGTGTCTTCATTCGCCACGTCTTCGTGGCCTTGATGAGGAGGGTTGGTAAATGGCGAAGAAGGGAGTGGAATGTTGAAACGTGGGCTTTGAAGTTTTTCGGTTTAGGGATTAGGCGAAGTTTGATACAATGGTTTTTGGGATTTGGAGAGTTTGGGGAAGGAAAAGTTGATGAAATTACGAATTTTCTTTATTCTCGTTGAAATCGAGATGTTCGTTTAATAGAAACGGTCGTGTAGCAAATTAATTATTTATACGAACGTTTTCATTGTACTTTAGAGATGAGAATAAAAGATGGGATTTGGAAAGTAGAATAAAATATTATAACTTTAATAATTGAAGAATCGTGTGATCGTTTTGTATTTGCTATAAATGGAGCGACGACAATTATGATATATAATGTATGATAGAAAATCCATATATACGGAATTCTCTATTGTACAAGTCGAACGATGGATTTAAATAAATAAATTCGCACTCGGTTGAACCTTTCTCCGTTAATTTCTCTCGCGTCGTTAAATTAATTTAAGCGGTACGAAAATTTAATGTTAATCGATCAACGTTGTGAACGTGCAAGATAGAAATAAGAGGAGCGAGACGAAGGGAAGACTCGATTAATTTCATTGTCCGTTAATATAATCCTGTCCAGGGATTTTGCCTCCGTTTCACAACCTACACATCGATAGTTTAATCTGTTTGTCCCTAAATTCCACTAAGCTTTCCGATTAACTGTAGTAATCCGTTTGTCTCTTCGCTTCAATTAACCGGCAACGAATAACATTTCTAAACAGGCGGCGATTCGAAAGCAAAATTCGTTTTCGCGTGGCGAATTCGTTCCTCGAATACGTTTCGAACGTTTTAACGAAATCGTAAAAATCATTCGACGCGAGGAAAATTTAATTTATTTCGCTCGTTCGATGATTATCGTCGTTGTTTGGATCATTGGATTTAAAACTCAACGAGATATTATTCAGCCTCTTCCTTTTTAACCAGAGTTATTAATTTTCATTATACATTGTGAAAAGTTTCGACATTGCTAACTTTTATATAAATGGACCGGCGACCTGACCTCGTTCGTGACACGATCAAGTATTTTGAAATTCGCGACGGTGAATTATATTTTCCCGCCAACAAATATATTTCGATCGAAACGTGGAACGATGATATTGATTTATAAAAAAAAAAAATGGAAATTTATGTAGGATTACTTGAAAAAGAAGAACTGTGCAACGTTAAGACTGGAGAGCTCGTTCAAAAATTCGTCTTTTTATCTGGGATGTATAAATTTTTCTGGGATAAAAGGAACGACAAAAAATGTATTTATTTAATTCGAAGGAATTATGGATAATTGATTGATTCGGCAAATACTTTATTTAAAATATGCACGCAACGAAACGAGGAGTAAAAAGTGATAAATTGCAAGGGAGAGCAAGTCTAACCAATTCAAGTGAAATAGGGCCATCCGTCAGCCAGACGCAACGACTAACAAGAATTATACATCTTTCCTTGCTCCGCGTTAAACCATGTTAATGCCAATTGCTACCAAACAAATAAAAAAAATAAAATAAATTAAAATGATGGGAAAAGGTTTTGAAAAAAGAAACTATATATATATATATAAAAATCTTTCTCGATTTAATTATTTAACCTCGCATCGACCATCAAGATACACAGATAGAAATTTTAAAAGAAAATTCTAATTTTCCAGATCGATGACTTAAACTTAAAACGTTAAAGAGTAACATCACCAAGAAAGATCGTGGTGATAATATATATATATAGGCGAGTTTTATCCGATAACTACGAGGCAGGGATTAATTGATTGTGACAGGAAGAGAGAAAAGGGGGAATGAAATCCAATCATCGATTCCCACGATAAGTGGACAACGTGCACGAGAGATTTTAATGAGTTCCCCGGCAAGCAGATCTTCGAGATCGAACGAAATCGAGTTTCCAAAGAGCTATCGCGTCCTTCGTAATCGTGTGAAATCGAACGTTCGTATCTCGACGATTCTCACGAGTCGAACAAAAATTTATAATCTCTCGATCGTCGGATCGATATCTGTTTACAACTCGTTGGTGATATATGACGTGCGATATTATATATACGTATGATACTTTCTCGACAGGTATTTCTATCGCGTGCTTTTATCACGAAAGGTGATTAAAATTTTCGCCCATGGGGCTGTTTTCGAAAGAACAACGCATCGTGAAGACGAAACTTTGAATTTTTTAAACATTTTTAATCGTTCAAGCTTTCAAACCTTCTCCTCTCGTTCGAAAATATCGTTTCACGACATTTCGTATTCCCATATTATTATTATCTTAGTTTTTTGAACTATTTTATGTAATAACAGAATTATTATTATTATTAAGCCGTTTAAACGAGTTTCTCCTGATGATAAAACTCTCTCGAACCGATTAGATTAGCTCACGGTTTATTATAATTCTCTCATCGTAATTCGTTTCGTTGAAATATATTTGTGAAATTTCAGGGGAGGGACGATTATTTTTCTCAAAATTCTTGGAAGAGAAAAATATAATCGCGTTTTTGACACGAGAGAAATAAATTTTCTAGTCGATTAAAAAAAAAGCGATCTATCGTTTTCACAAAGCAAGGGTGAGACACTTTCTGTTTTCAAAGGAAGGAGGAAGAAACGTTGGAGAAAGGATCCTTTGCGCGATCGGATATAGAACTGTTTTTTCGCCCCCTCGAAGTTGGCACGATGAAATATTTTCGAGGAAGGCGCGCCCTTTCGTGGAATACAGAGAAATTCGCGACGTCTGTCACCTGGTTGGAAAACAGAGAGAGAGAGAGGGGAGGGGGAAGAGAGTGTGGTTGAAAAGTTGAAATTGCGATATGAATTTCGATAAAACGAAAGTTTCACCTGCCAGAGATTTCCGATCGGGATTTGCACTTGTGAGAAAACGCGCGAATAATATCGAGTTCCGTGCAAAGTAAAATAAATATAATTTATTTTATGTTAATTTCGAAGAATTTTTTTTTTCCTTTTTGCTAGAACCAACGCTTCTCCCGAAGCTTGCGCATCATGTATATTTATATTTATTGTTGAAAAGACGATGAAAGAATCGAATAATATGGGAAAATAATTTATATTAGACTAAAAGTGAGAACGATATCGATAATCTCGTACAAAGTAAAATAAATATAATTTATTTTACGTTAATTTCAAGAGTTGTAAAGTTCATTTCATATATATTATTTATTTTTGAAAGAACGAACGAATGAACGCGTGAAAAAGACGGGACGATAACATGGGAAAATAATTTAATCCGACTTCAAATTTGTATCTGTTCTCTTCTGGAGTCATTAAGGAAATTTAAAATCCCAAGATCCCTTGATCGCGGCCCGTCGAAGCGAAACATCAAACACACCGTTAATTCCCAGAAATATCGAGAAGTCACGTCCGCAATCAACGCACAAAATCCAAACAGGAAATCCTCACCTCTTATTATAACCCTTGTTTTTATCAGTCACGATAATGACACGTCAAAATGTCAAAAATTATCTCTCCTATATTTTACAGATTCATGATGATCTGCCTTCCTCGTAATTAAAAAAAAAAGAAAAGAAAAGGATAGAGAAAAAAGAATCCTCAGTTATTATTTTATTTCGCTCCAATTTCATTTCGTTGGTTTTCAATTCTAAAAACACCTAAGGGCAAATAATGGAAAGAGACTGGTACGAGGGGAGGTGATTGTTCGGTTCTTAACTTTTCCATCCACCCTCTTCCTCCTCTCTCTAGTTTCGATCGAGTCGAGAAAACTTTTGATTTATCAACGATTCGGTTTTCGAGTTTGTTCGAGTTTCCAATTTATTTCCTTCGTCTTTGGCGGCGCCACCTTACTCCGCGGATACCTGTTACGCCTCCATCTCCCCTCCCTCTTGGGACGAGCCGTGGAAAACTCGCGAGTTTTCGATTCGAGGGAAGGGTTGTTGGAGGGGAGAAGGAAGCTCGTTAACGCAACCGAGATATTTCGTGTAAAATGAGAGGAGAGATTGTTCTCTTGCAGAGATCGGAAGGGATCGTGTGTGAATAATTGATTTGGATATGTAAAAATGAATCCTCTTTTCGTCGTCGTGGATGGCAAACAACGACAATAAATTTCTTCGATTTCAACGTGGTATTTGAAAGACACGGAATGGATGGAGTACTCGTCCAAGCAACACGAGAATTGAATATCGCGATATTTTATTGCGGTTTGTCGCGTAAACGTTGAAACATTTCGCCTCTATTATATCTCGAAGGGAGGAGCGAAGGGGAGGTTGTTCAAAGGGATTCGTTCGAATTGGCGTGTATTGAAATTATGAGCCGGGGAGAAACATTTTATTCCCTTGAATAACGCGATTAACGTGATTCGCGAAACTTTTCGATAAGGGTGAGTGGTGGAAGATTTCGCGAATTAATTAAGAAGATTAAAACGAAAGGAATTTATTTCTACTATGGGGAGAAAAGCTTGTTGGGGGAAGGGAGAGAATTTTATTCAAATTCCAATTACTTACTCCTCGAACTTTGCATTCGAATACAAACGAGTGAAATTAAATTAAAAGCGGACGAAATATTTTTAATGTCTCGTCCAATGTGAATTTTCCACGAAAATATGGATAGTTTCTTCTTCTCGAGAAAAAGAGAGAGAGAGAGAGAGAGAGAAATGGACGAGTTCTCGTAGGAAAAACAGACAGATTTAGCGATCGCGGGAGATTAGAAGTGAAAATGGCGGCCAATTCGGGACGCCCATCCTCCTGGTTCGATGACAAGGACGTGTTCGGGATTCCGCCGTGTCCCGTGGGATATTTTTCGTTCGTTTTATTGGCTGAATGTTTCCAGTAAACGCGAAGGACGCGCTATTTCTTTCCTTTTTCTCGCGTGCCACAATGGCGGAGGGAATATTTTTTTTCGGATATAAACTTTTTCTTCTCGATGATGAAACACGATGACAGATCTCTGAT